GCCAACACATAAAATATGTAGAGACGTTCAATGAAACCCTGTCCGTCATGTCACCCTAACCCTCTACGACGCATTTCTCCATCCCGTCTCCTCTTTGTCCGTCCACCCTTCTATCGTCATGCTTTTCTCTGTGCAGAAAGCAAAGCTTCAGCCGAAAAGGCCGAAGAAATGGAGTTTATTGAAACATGTGGCTTTCTCATATTGAAATTTAAGAAATTGTTGCAAACAAGTTCCTGTATGATGTTTGGTTTATTCTGGGGTAAAAATTTTAGAGACAAAGATCAAGAAGATCTCTGATGAATCAAATGTTGACCTTTTTATTGATGTGATATTCACTCTTAAGTAAAAACGTTGCTGGTATGTGTCGATATTTTTTTTGTGAAGACTCTGAGAAAAAGGATGAATGAAATGTGGAAGGGGTGTCAGAGCCCTGGGGGAAGGGAATGAGAAGGCAGGGGGGGGGAATTCTTTCTAGCCCTCCCACATAATCACTATTTGTGTTTAGCAGCATTGGCCCACTTCTGCTCTGTGTGTAATGTGTGTGTGTGTTTTTGATGTTTGGGGAGTAAAGGGGTTCCTCTGCAGCTCGTAGTTTAATTTTATTCAGTCCAACAAGGACAAAGCAAGGTTTTCGGGTTGCAGCAGCAGTGAAAAGCCGCCCGACGCCTGAATGTCTAATAGATTTGCACCGTTCCCCTGCTATACCAGGGCAGAAGCTTGTTTCAGCTTCATCAAATCATTTTTTTTTTCTCAAATTCAAATATGTTGTCACCCACACAAAGCAGGTAGCTCAAAGGACATAAAAAATTAAAAAAATCAAAATGACTGATTTTATGTAATGAAAGGACATTATTGATATCAGAAATGGAACTAGTCCCATTTAACGCAAATTAAAAAAAAAATCGTAAGTAATAATATTTTCGACAAACTGTAAATAGTTTAACGTAAAGTTTAAATGTTTTAGTAAAATTGTGTACTGCTTTACCTTTATCTGTTGCTAGAATATATGTACTTGTCAAATAAAACTCAATAAGTGAATTTCTATTGTGCAAAAATGATTTTACTCTGCATTGTGATCTGTTAGTTGGTTTTTATATTAACTAGATTTCTTTACAATTGTCCTTTTTGCTTAATTCTTTTAAATACATGCTTTACTATTCTTACTATTGTTTAGTCAAATACCTTTATGACTTGTCTGACTTTCCACAATCTATAAAGGACTTTCTATGAAAAATAAATCCAGGAAAACCAGGTTTGGGGTACTTTTAGACGATTAAAGTCAGCAGTGGGTTTTTCATTGGTTCCATCTAGAAAGGAAATGCAGCTAAACACAGTAGCACTGCGCATCAAGTACTTTTCTATGTAAAAAAAAAGTAAGACAGCTCTGAGAAAATTGTCAGAGAGTGCTCTATCAGTATCCTGATGCATCTCAATAATTGGGTAGAAAATTTCTAAAAGCTGAGTATGTCTTCTGGACAGGCTCTTTGTTGAAATATTTCATCCTTTCTCTATGAAACGTACATTTTAGAGAGAAGACTTGCTCACCCACACCAAACAGTATTGATAAGCTCCCCTCTCTAAAGCGAGGGGTACCTTCAATAGAAAGAGCCCTGTCAAAGCCTTCAAAGCAAGAGGTACAGTCAGACATGAAACCACATGGTTTGGAAGAATTTGTCTTAAAAAAAAAAAAAAAAAAAGTGAAAAAAAGACCCAGAAGAACAAAACTACTAGAGCTTTCTATGAGATTGAAAAACTATGTCAATTCACCATGATCTTGTTGAAACGAATGCACAAAGAGACTCTGAGCTCTGGTCACTTTTACATTAAAAGAAAACCACATAATAATGCATAGAGGTAAAATCAAGAGTTCTCTCATTAACTGTCCAGAAGAGAGATGCAGCAAATCAGAAAGCGAGGACTACTTTCTATGCTAAGAAAAACAAAATAACACCGCCAGCAGTGGCTGTTGGCATTAATAAATAACTAGAACTATAATATATAGTAGTAAACTAGAACTTTTTTTTAATTATCCTTTTTTTAGATTTTATATCTTTGATTTCAGGAGTTAATTTTACTGTGGCTTGCAGTTGTTGTCGGGCTGCTTTGAGGTCTTTTTTTAACACAAATAGAAATTCATCTGAAGTCAAAGACTAATGTTACGTGTCAGGCTGTGATCCAGAGCTGGAGTCCTGGTCCAATCTGCCAGCTGCTTACGACACACTGAGACACACAGGCTGCAGCATGGAGATCAGATGTCCTCTGATGCTGAGTATTTACCACTTTTCCTTTTAGACTCCTTGAAATTCATGAGTACAGCTTTGAATCCGAACACAGATAGTTTGCAGACGGGGACCTTTCATTTATTTATTTGGTTATTAGTTTTCATGTTGCAGGAGTTGTTTCTACTTAGGTCTCTACGTAACATGTCTGTTAAGTTGATCTGTATTAGACACGTGTAACCCGCAGCTCTAATCCAATCTTATTTATACCCTCTTGTACTGGGCTACCGTTTCTGATACAATCAAAAAAATAAATAGTTTAAATCTAGAGTTGTGTTTATGATATTAACCCGTATCAAACTGGGACTTTCATCACTGTAAAGCTCTCACTTCTACTTGCTTAGTCAGGATGAAGGGGTTGAAAACCGGAACCATCATGTTTGCTGAGTCTGGACTGCATAACAGACTTCGAGCCTGCAGAACGAGTCACTGTCTAGTCGGTGTGTGCTGACACGTATAGATTAAGAGCCGAGCTCTTAATCTGACAGGGTTTCTCATCATATGGATCAGGTTTGTATCTTAAATGTAGATAATCTATAGAGCTAGTACAGAAATGTTCCACTGTGAAGCCCTAAGTGTGATTAAAGACTAGGGACAAAGGAAGGAAAATATCTGTAAACATCACGTTCCACTGGAATCATAGTATTCTGCAACTTCCAACGGGTTTTCTTCCAAGATTCTCAAGCATTTAGGTGAATCAATCTTCCAGTTAACTCTTGCCAGATTCTCTGTTCTCGCAAAAGAAAAGCATTCCCACAGCATGATGCATCCAGCAACATGTTTTGACATGGAACAGGTGTTTTTTGATGTGGCTGAAAACAGCCACATCAGATCATGTTTGTCCTTTAGTATAAACAGGAGTTCTTCCATGGAGAGAATTTAGTTTCAAAATAGATTTCTGTCTGTAATGCTGTATTTAGATATTTTTTTTATTTTATTTTTTTTGTAATTTAACAAAAGGAAATCATGCATAACTTCAAGTACTTGTAAATGTTCGTTCAAAAACAAAAATACACACGCACATCTGATCTTTACGAATTCAAAAGGGTTCCTTTTAAATTCATGTACACAGATCTCATAAAACACACAGACAAAATTTAAGTTTCACACCAATCAGGTTATGAGTATAAAAGGTTTTTGGGGCACATTTCACGCTTTCAGATAGCTCCCAGGTTGGTGTGTACATGGTGCATTTAAATGCTGGTGTAAAGCTGGGTTATCTGAGTTTTATTCAGAGTCTATCATTTTTTTCCCACTTAAGTTATTTAACATGTGTTTCATGTGAATTGTCTGCATAAATTTAATGTTTTGTATACTTAGGAACCTTTTTGAATTCTTAAATATCAGATCTGTGGGTGTATTTTTATTTTGCATTCATAATTTAAATATACAGTATTTGTGGTTGTTTTGGAAAACACATTTACACTAACTGAAGGGATGCACAAAATATTATTTACAAATTACAAAAAATGTCTAATTTAGCATTACAGATATAAACTTTTATTGAAACAAAATCCTCTCCATATTCTAATGGCTGTCTGGGGAAAAAAATGTTTTCCTTTCCCAGTATGTGCAGATTTGTGGCATGCTTAGCTGGTTGCAATCCTGTTGACATATTCCTCCACCTGAGCTTTGAAGTTCTGCATCTCCCTTGCAATTACCATTGGTGTGCTGCTGCTTCTCTGATTAATACTGTCTTCCCCCAGCCAGTCATTATAGCAGGGCAGCTACGTCCTGTAAGATTAACTGTTGTGCCTTACTCGTTCCATTTCCAGATAATGGATTGAACAGAGCTCTTTAACGTATTTATAGCTTCACCAGAAAGAGAACTGAGGCTGAAACTTTGCTTTTGCTTAAACTAAATGCAAATGTGCATTTTCATAAACAATGCACACCCAATGATGGTCAGAAAAAAAGTTAGTAATGGCAGAGTGCATAAGCTGCATTTCCGCTTGTCTGTTAGTCTATTTTAAGGCTGAAATATAGCTTCCTGCCTGCAGTGGGCTCCTACATGCTCAAGCTTAACCTGGATGCAGAAACAAACTCCTCAATTTGTAAGTTTAATCGGTAGGGCATTCGGTTTTGCGCGGTTATACAGTGATGCATGCTCAATTTCCAATGTGAACAGTTTGTTTGCTTTGCACTTGCATGGTAATTGCTGCAGCTTACTGCCAGCTCCATCATTGTGCCTGAAAACCTCCCAGCTCTCTCTCTCTGTGCCAGCCTTCATCTGCATGCACACACCCCTCAGAGACATTCCCAGTTTTCATTCACAGATGCACACATGGTTTTACGAAGTTGGCACTCTCGGGTCAAAAGCATGGGAGCCGAACGGAAAGGGGCTGGGTGGGCTCTCTATATGTCTGAGTGAACTAAATGAGATTACTGTAATCCATGTTTACCAGGAAAGAGATTAAATGCAAATGCTGTTTGTATCATCCTCTTTCTACCTCACTTTCACCTTACTTTCTGTTTTTTTCTGCAGACATTTCCTCCTTAAATAAAAGGCACATTGTTATAGACTTACACATATTATCAAAAACATAGAGCTTTTCAGTCAGTCTGTATATCAAGACACTCCGCATTCAGATGTGATAACTGTAAATTAATACATATCTTGATCCGCCCTCTTCATCTTTGAGACATGTTGATGAGATAAAAGGATATTCTTTGCTGCATGGTGATTTTCTTTGGTATTTTTGCTTCTGTTTCTCCATCTAGATGACATCCTGCAAAAAGAAGATGGTCCTCTGTTAGCAGCCCAGATTGGCTCTGAACTCCAGAAGCAGTTCGCCATCTTGCCAGGTTGGTTTGATTCACTCATAGTAACTTATTAAATTTAAAGACAACAATGACCCTTTATTTTGAGCTAATTCATTATGTGAGTTCCCAGACTTATTGGTCTGCCTTCCGCATAGAGATGAAAGAATAGAAATGCTGTGCTGGTTAGCAGGAGAATAGCTTGTTGTAAGACCTCTATGTTTATTTTTAAACCTGAACAGGCGTATTTTATAACCTCTCGGTCTATCTTTAGAAAAATATTAGACCAATTATACAATATTCTCTGTATCTGTGTCTGATTATTTCATAGACTTTCTTCTGCAGAGAGACAGGAGGTTATTTATTGCTTAATATGTTTCTGAACACTCCAATTAGGTTAAAGCATAGTTTGGATGAACTGCTTCATTAGATTTATGTTATATGGATTTTGTTTATATTAAACACACCCGTAGTTATTTTTATTTATGTTTTATTTTATTTCATATTTTATTTTTGTTTTAAGTCTCTAAGTCTGTAGAAGTTCACAATTTTTATATATTCTTGCTCTCTGCAATTTCCCATGCAAACTTTGTTTTCTCATGAATGCATCAGTGCGTGAGCTGATATGTGCTCATTATGGATATTAGGCATACATTTGCATCTTCTGGGTGTGCAAAAAATCGTACGGCCTCTGCCTCCCAACTGTCAGTGGTTTCTAATCCTCAATGATAAACAATTTGGTGCGCAACAAATACAACAAAACAGCTTTAACGGAGAAACTTTTAGGCAAACAGGCTTCAAGATGAAAGGAAAGATTTTTGCACGAGAAATGTAATGCTTCGTTTTTTTGTTGAAAAGCCGACTCGGATTAAAGATACAGAGAGCATCTCAATCAAACAGTGGAGCGGAAACAGCACAGAACAAAAAAATTACACACAAATACACCCTCTTTTTTGGGGGGGGGGGATTTTGGGTTGCCATGATGATCACAGCTGCTCTGAGAATAATTTACTGTGGTGATGATATGCTGTGCAGTTTGAGCCTCTGGGGAAAGGAAAGGTCTGCTCTTTGGATGTGGGCCCATTTTCCTTAAGCTTTCTGAAAGTCCTTTAAAATATACAAACACTGATTAGAATCTGAATAAGAAGGATCCAAATATGTTCTAATCACTCTTTGCTTGTAAAGGAAAACATTTTATTTGGACTTTTGCACAGTTATATAGTGGATGGGAAAGCATCTGACATTTCCTTCCAAGATATTACTAAATAAAATGAATTGGGATTTGCTTCCTTTAGAAGACGATTTGTGTGTTGTTGAATTTCCATATACATTTTTTGAATCTGTTAAGGTCACGCGGTTTATTGGAGAACGTGGAGACCAATTAATACAGCAGACAGGTTGATAAGAAACTTCCCGAGAAGTTTAAAACAGGGTTTGATCCTCAACGAATGTCTCTAGATTTAAACAGCTCTTAGAGATCCTCTCAGTCCGTCATCCAAACACGGGAGTATATAACGACTGCAATCCCACTGGGACATGGTATTAATCATAGAAGCAGCCCAGCTGTCTGAGGTAACTCTGAGAGGTTTGGGGGATCGAAGAATCTTTTATTAGGAAACCACAGCTCTTGTGTCTGGTTTGGGAGATGCAGGATCTCATCTTTGCTTTTTCAATTTTATTTGTGGTTCCTCCTCTAAGTCAGAGGGCATAATTCTCCATCAAATAATATATGAATGCAAACACTTCTCTGGTCTGTTGCGAGGAAGAAAGAGCTCACCAATGCGCTTGTGACCATCCCAAGAAGTGCACCTTCCGAGCTCATCTCACTGAAAGGAAACCCTGGGAAAGACCCAGAACCTGCTGGAGGGATAATGTATTCAGCATGGCTTAGGCATGGCCTGGGACTCCCCAGAATTGGCTTCCACTGTGGAGAGATTGCAAAAAAAATGTTGGATCAGGGGTAGATAATAAATGGAAAAGTGCAACAAGGTTTACCAGAAGGTTTTCTGAACAAAGACAGCCAAACGTTTCCTGTTTCTCCTCTTAATCCAACACAAAATGCAAAACAAACACACAAATAGTGCACCACTGTTTGTTTTCACTCTGGCTGTATTTTCTAAAAAAAATAAAATAAAATAAAAAAATGCAAAAGTTTGTTCTTTTTTTTTTTATCAAAGACCATCTAAAACAATCAGTCTAAGATAACCCTGTTGAATTTCCTTGGAATCAGAAATTAAAGAGCTCGGAGAAGTCAATAATGTCCATTCAGCTGTCAGCAGGTCATTAGAATAAATTGGTTCGACCCTAAACTCAATGCTTGACCTCTGCCTCTCCAGGGGGCCGCGGGATCAACGGCCACCCCGTCATCTTCCTCCCAGACTTCCCAGCGTTCAGCGAGCTGCCGGAAGAGGAGCTGCAGAATGTGCTCCGTTACCTCACAAGCGTTCCCAGGTTAGTGTTCCTGCTTGATTTCAGCACTTTAGATGACTTCTCACTGAAGGGAGGGAGGTGTAGTACCATGCAGTGCCTACAGATGCCACCACAACACTAAAGGCATAGCACAAGAAAAAACTGATAAGAAGGCTAAAATTAGTTATTTTTAGGATAATTAATTACTGTAAGACACTAGTTAACTCATGCTTAAAGGATTTGAGTAGGAAAATATTCAATTAATCTTTATGTTTAGAATAAAATGTAGAATAAATAAAGCTTTAGGGATTGTCTTTAAGGTCTAATCAGTTGTTCCTGAATTAAATGGAATAAGAATGATAATCTATTTGTCTTTTCTCTCATTTTTAACCCTTTACTCTGTCTTTTCTGCTCCTTTTCCTTTGGAGTATGTCCCCACTTTTACTCACACATAAAAGTAGGAGATTCATGTTTATCCACGTGACTGCGTTGTACATGCTTCTCTTTTTTTTGTCTGCATCTGATCACTTTCATATATAACATCCACCCCACATCCCCCCTGTAGAGTCCCCTCCCTCGCTCCTCTCTTCCACCCTGAGCTCGGATTGGTTGTGGGACTGCAGAGACGGCTGTAATTGGCTGTGGGAGGGAGCGGCTACGAGGTGGATGGTGGAGGAGCAGAAAGAAGGAGGAGGGAGATGCTCTGCAAGGATGGGAACGGTCACCTCTCTCCGTCTGCAGAAGGCAGAAAAACTGTGGTCTTACTCATAATAAAGAAGATTTAAAGAAGATCGGATTATAATTATGGAATATTGAGGGTTATTTATTTTATTTCATCCTGAAATATTTGGATTTCTCCGCATCTCCATTTTCACTGGATTTGGATATTTTTTTCTTTTAACTGGCAGCAATGGACTGAGGGTTTGCTGCTGCAGCGTTCGCTCTGTACATCATCTGGGTGTCTGTGTGTGCATTCAAGCCGGCCAAAGATGACAGCCACATAGTGCGGCTCTGCAGCGTTAGTATGTTGTCAGAACACTCTGTTCAACGTCACCGCCTGTGTGTCGAGGTGTCAGGGTGCATGTCATGCTCTCCAACAGGATCTCTGATGAAAATGCGGCATTGTCTCCCACACATACACACACACATATGCGCACAGCCCATAGGAACATTAGCTTAATGAGGCTGCTACATATGGCCCTGCCTGTGGAATGAATGGCCAGATTTTTCTCCCTCTCACACAACAGCGCATTAAATGCGGAGCCAAAAGGTTGCCATGGTGATCAGGATCATAATTGTTGATGAGAAATTATGCCTGCTGGTGCTTAGGATGCTGTTAGTGGGGCTCTGAGATTTATGGGGACCTGTTTTGACCCTCTAAATGTGTCTAGATGCAAAAAGAAGAAATATAATATAATAAAAAAAATGGATGGATGGGGGGGCTGTTCCTCTACCAGTAGCCTTGGAGCTTTTTCACATTTTCTTCACTTTTCTTCGGCCTCCCCTCTTCTTACTTATTTCTCCAGGCATGGGGGCCACCAAAAAAGCAGCTTTTTCATGCACCCTTGGTATTCTGTCCCATTGTTCGTCCCTTTTCCTTTTTTCTCATTTTTTTAACTACCCATTAACATGCGGTGGGTTTGCATCTTAAAGTCCAACAGGATCTTAGCTTGGTTATCTCTCACCACATTGAGAGGTGACTGACACATTGACCCAGTGGTTTATCAGATTTTATTCTGCCCTTATGTTTCTGTACACTATGTCGGTTCTCTTCCAGTTCTCATCCCTGGAACCCAACTTCCTAATGCATTCTTAGGGGTTGAATGTTTTCAGTAGCTCCAATGCTAACTGGTCCTCTATTCCCTGTAGATACTGGATTTTAGTTGGAACCTGAAGCCTGAATCTCCTCCTTTGGCCACATTTTAACTCAGTTGGGCTGATTTCTAGGAAGGAATAGCTGTTGACTATGGAGCTTGCTTTTCCATTTAACTGTTTGGTCCAAAATATAGTTGATAATTTGCTTGGTGAAAATCATATTGGAGGTTGACAAGGCAGTTAAAGGGTTAAGTCAATATCTTGCTTAGCGTTTGCACGCAGCTTGTAGAAAAGGTAACGTTACACCTTTTAGTGCTTCTTATAATGCATTACTACAAGGAATTCTCGCTAACTTCACAGCATTTGACCTACTACTCAGAGCTGAACAAAAATTAATCATCCCATTCCGACCTCTAACCTTTTGTTGGATCTGCTTTTTATATTTTTTAACTAAAGACATAACAAAAATATAATTATCTAAATGAAAAAGTGATTAGGGAAGCCCCACTTGAGGTTTTTTTGGTTGTTTTCTAAGAATTTAAACCCCTTCAAAAAATGGAAAAATTATGTGCTGGAGGTTTCAGTGCAAGACTCTCCTCCTTCATATGTCTCAGAGTCCAAAAGTCATGTAAAGTAGACCTGCATATTTAAATCTACAGGCGGAAATTAAAGGGGGTTCTTTGTTATAATGCATTTTTTATTTGCAAAGAAAATCAGATTTTTTTTTTTTCAACATTCATCTGATTCACAATCAAACAAAGAATGATCTGCATCATTTGATTCAGATCTTATTTGTTGCGCCTTAACAGTGCATCAGATTCATGGTTAATAATCCCCCAGCAGAAGGTTTGAAACCATTTTTACCAAAAGTGTTTTATGCTAGAGAGTCCTGCAGGGAACATGCATCAAAACGCCCCCCCCCCCCCCCCCCCCCCCCTCCCTTGTTGGGTTCACATAGTGCTCAAACATTTAGCAGAATTTGCACACCCTCCTCTTATCTAGCAGCAGCACATATGCAGCAAAGTACCCTTTTCTCTGTGATAACATTGCCTCTCTCCTGCAGCACCACAGCATCTGAAGTGGGCTTCATCCTGATAATCGACAGACGGCTGGACCGATGGGCCGCTGTCAGAGCCACCCTGCTTCGCATTGGAGTAAGATCCTGTCCTTTTCCTCTGTTTGCTTGTGACTAAGACAGAAAGTGCTGCTGATGAAGCTGCTCTTGGCACCGCAAATGGCTGTTTTGGAGCTTGCTGCTGGTTTACATGATATAATGCTTGTTTTTACGCTGACCTGTGGGTATAATTAGGTGTGTCACCACTTCGAATAATGGATGTTTTAGGATGACACTTTACAGTATAACCGCTTCACTGCTGCTAGAAATTCATGAACTGCATGTTGAAAGGACATGTGCTGGGAGTCGGGCGATTTCTCTGCATCTCTCTGGGTGTAGAAATGAGGTGGGAAGTTAAAAATAGCGTATTATGCTGGAGTAGGAGGTGGAGTGTCTCACAACATGGAAAAAATTATGAGGCACTCCTGTTAGACCAGAAACAGATATTAGCTGCACACCTTTGGTCAGTAGACTAATTGTAGCTAATTGTTACATCTTTTTTTGTCCGTTTCCTATTAGCCTACAATAACTAGAAGAGGGAATAAAAAAGTAAAAGGCAAACAGTTTTAAATAAACTCTAAAACAAGAAACAATCCATGAAAGAATAGAAATTTTAAAGGAATAGAAAGCAATCAAATCAAAATTTGATCAGATTGAGATGTTAAGTTTTTTTTGTTTTTTTAGCTTTTATACGCTTTAGAGTGAAGGCAAGAATGTTTAAGATTATAAAGGTTGCCAGCTTTGTTGAAATGAAGCTAACACGCTGCTAAAAGCCCCAACAAAATTGATGTTTACAATGTAAAAAATAGACAACTTCCATAGACAAAATCCTTTTAAAACTTTTTTTAAACGACTTTATGTACACCAGATTTGTGTTTTGTTGTTTTTTCTGCAAAAAGACTGTTATGTAATGGGTACTTTTAAAAATATATATAAACTTATTCACTTATTTACACTGTAAAAAGTTTTTTTTTTTTTTTTTTTTACCAAATGCTTGTTTACAGTATGTAAATTTATTACAATTATCATTTTTTACAACAAAAGAATTGTGCAAACCGGCTAATTATTTACACAGGAAAACACCTTTTGTGCAAACCAGATTCTTGTTAACATGGTAACATTAATCTAGATAAGTCATTTTTTTCTTAAAATAAATGTATTTGTTCTTGAATTGAGGGTGTAAAAGAGACATTTTGTCAATTGAACAAGAGAATTTACATTTGACATAAGAAAATACAACTTAATTGTCTTATATTGCATGATATCTTATTTTAAGAGTAAAAATTCTCATTCCATTGGCAAAGTATCTCATTTACCTACTCAAATTAAGGGTAAATACACTTAATTTAAGAAATTTTTAATGATTTCTTCCATATCAGATGCCTGTTTATCCTGTATAATCTCTCTGTACAGATCACATGCTTGTTCACAAAGTTTATAACCTTGTTTGCGCCACAAATCCTTGTTTACATCATTAAAACTGATTGACCAGATATAGTTTTTAGTTTGAAAATAAAATAAAAACTTCATGCAACTTATACAATTTAAAATATTGTATAGAGTCCATTACTCTAAGTTGCAACTGTCAAGCGACCTGAGCCACAGCCTGGTACCTCATCATTTCTGGAACCAATTTACTGCTATTTTATCTAAACTAAAATTGATATGAATCATTATTTAGCTATATGAAGAAAATTTGGTGTTTCCTTGATGTGTATGACCAATCTATTTCCTCAATAAACAAAACAAAAAAAAGCAACAAAAAAACTTTTATAGACAAGATCCTTTTATTCATGTTTTGCTGTTTTTACTGTAGAAACAAATTACGCAGCTCAGATACTTGTTTACGTATAAAAGCTTTTGGTCTGAATTAGGTGAATTAGATCCAACCTTAGACCTTATTTACAATAATAAATATATATATATATGTGTGTTATATGCAACAGCCTTTAGATTTGGTTTGACTTGACTTTTGTCCATTGTAGGCCTATTGTTTCATTGGAGGAAAAACAAGAAAATGTAATTAGGAAAATTTTGTATTTTCTTGATGTATATGACCAATCTGTTCCCTCAATAAACGAAACTATAAAACAAAACAAAATGACAAAAAAATATATCATTTTTACAATTAATTAAAAAAACAATTTTGAAGTTAAATACTTCCATTAAAGGGATGTAGCCTTCTATTAATGTGTAGTGCTTTTAAAGATAACCTACTGCAAAAAAAAAAGATAGATTCCTTCATTATAAAAAACATTATTAAAAAAAATAAATCTGCAGAGCAGCAGTTTATGTAGCTGTTTTGTTTCCTCTTAAAGACTATGCAGCTTTATTTTGACATTTGGGAGATAACCTTTTAGATTAATAAGTTTGTGTGCCTAAACATGTATTCTCATGGTACGATTATCTTAAATGATCTCGTCCATACTCCTTCTAAATATTTTAAATCAGCTCTGCCAGCTTGAGGACAAAGCTTCACCTTACCTTACCCATCTGTTGTCTGGATGCTCACTCTCTCTGGTGCTGATTAACTCTTCCCGTCTGTGTAAATCTATGTAAATGTATGCTAATCGGACACTAATTACCATCCAATCTAATTGCTACGTTTGAGGAAAAACTATTCCCATTGTGGCAATAAGCCATTATGAGGTTCCTTTTTGAAGTAACCATACCTGTGGAAAAACATCTGCGCACTTGAGATGCAAACATGGCAGTATAAGTGGTCCATTATCACTGTCTGCTGGCTCACAGGAGCTCTTTGATGGGCCGTCGGCTTTATTTATGGGATGAATCAACATTTCCTCCCACTACAGGTTTCTGTGAATGCCTGAACAAAAATATACAAAGAACCCAGGAGCAATGATAATCATGTCAACATTTCTGACAGTTTATTATATGGTTTAAAATAAAACAAATTTTTGATCAGAAAAAATTTTTTTTTTTTTTTATTTTACACTGGGGAAAAAAAGTATTTCAGGTCCAAATGGACATATTTCATCTTCCAAAGACCCTTTCTCCTTTGAAAGACGTGTTAACATCAGTTTTAAGCAGATGAAAGTATGAAGTATATAGGAACTGGACCTTGGGTCAACTTTACAGCGCTCAAAGCTCTCGATTTCTTTTTTTTTTGCTTTTAAGCAGCACATACATTTGTACATAAAGTCCATAATAAAGTTAGAAGTATAATTTTTTTTTCTTCCAATTTGTTCCTTTTTTTTGCTTTGTTTTGGCACAAATAAGCCTTATAAATAGGATGTACCTGTGTGGCAACATGAAGTAGGCTAAAACAACGACCTAAAGGACTTAAGGATGACCAGACCATCCTGAAAATATTCTCCAGCGCACACAATGTTGGGCTGACAGTATGATTTATTAAAGATACTGCACTCTCACTACAGCGATGGTAAGCAGCTGGTGAGCACAAAAAGAAAAATCCACCTGGAAGAGGTTCTTTGAACACATTTTATTATGTCCAACTAAAATGGAAGATTGGGGAACTAATTGGGAAGGTTTCCTGCTAAGGTACAGTTAATGTATAAGAATATATCTGTATCTCAGCTGATTGGGATGCTTTAAAATCATTATTTGGATTTTTTCCTCTTTGCCTTATTTTATTCAGTCTCTTTTTTTCTTTAAATAAAACCAACAATAGGAGGAGATCAGGCCAGGATGATTTATGTCTGTCACTGTGATAACTCTGTTTACATTGAGTTTATCAGCAGGGAAGCAGTAGCTGCTCAGCAGGATTTTACACCTCCCCCTCCATATGATCTCTCCTTTCTCCTAATTTTAATTACTTCATTCTCTCCTGATTCAGTAGATTCAATTGTTTTCTTTAAAGGTTTTTTTTTAATATAACATTACCTTAATTTTTAATGCATGAAGCATAGTAAGATGTTCACAGCAAGACAGACGCCATTATAACCTAACCTGAAGCCATTAACAGCAGGTGGTGCAAGGACATTGTCTCCTTCTCAAGCCTCTGGATGTCCTTTGTTGGACTTAAAACAAAGAGTGGAGCTTATTTTTCTCCCCATGAGATGTACTCTTAATCAAGGTCATTCAAGGACAAATTTTGCAATTTGCCGTTTTGCCAAAACCCCTTAAAAGGGCATTTTTTCAGCACTTTATGTATTGTTTATGGACCTCCATTTCTTCTTTATGTGGTACTATAGTTTTATGAGGCACTGTGCAGAGATTAAAATTCAGCTTAAGCAAGAAATAATGTGTTTTTAGGAGTGATAGAGCCTCATAAAAGACCAATAATGAGACATTAGTAGATGGAATTATAACAAATGCTTTAATGGGGTTCACAGCTTTCCTACATACACTGTAAAAACATCTTAAAATTAGTAAATTTCTTAAAATAAGGGTATTTACCATTAATTTTAGTAGGACAATTAGGTTATCTGCCAAATGATTAAGCATTTTTACCAGTAAGAATAAGATAATTATTTATTATGCACTTCAAATAAGAGATGACAGTTGTTTTGTTCCTTATTTTAAATGGAAATTGTCCTATTCCTTTGGCAAATTGACTTATTTCCAGAAAACGCACTTATTTCTAGAAAATTTAATGCTGTGTAAACATCAGAGCGGCTTTATTGCACAATCCGGCAAAATGGAGTCGTTATTTTAAAGCAGCTTTTTCAAAAATTGTCATTTTTAATCTCAGAAATTTTTAGTAAACTGGGATAATTTCAGATGAAGATCATACAGGCTGCTATTTCTATTTTTTTTATCTCTTCTACAGGCATGAGTAAAGCTGCCTCCCTCCAGTTAGTAGAAAGGGGGACATTTTTTTTTTTTTTTGTCTTTGTGGCAGCGCACCTTTGGGATGCAGAGTAATACATAGATAGCCAAGCAGGAGCATCGCTGTAGGCTGAAAAGGCAGATGGCTCTGTCAGCGGGTGCAAACACAAAGCTGGAAATGATTGCAACATGTAATATTAGCTGAAAAAGAAAAAAAAAAGAAGGTGTAATATAATTTTTGATGTGTAGACTTAAACGAAAATCCCTTCTCTCTGATGAAAGACAATTTTTCAGATGCAAAATCCAAAGTAGAGGGAGTCTTAATATCCTGGCTGCTCACCTCCCCTGAAGAGGACCATGTGGATGTCATTAGAGGACATGCCAGGAGAGGTTTTCCTTGACCACCCATCTCTCCTCACTTGATGAATATAAATCAGCTCCGTCCGCCTTCTGATCCTTATCATTTATTAATGTGTGCTTTTCATCCGCAAGACCCACGTGTCCAGGGAGGCGTGCCTGCATTAGCATATATCTATGTCGGCGTGTCAGGGGGATGCACCGAGCTGCTCGGGTATTGTCATGTTAATGCAGGGCTACAAATTAAACCAGGACCTCTCAAGGTTTATTGAATTTAATGGCTTCCAGTTACACATATGTTGCTCTGTGTTCTGCTGGTGGACGAGCAATGCTGCTTTTAGAAACAACAGACGTAAACAAAAAAAATGCCTATATTACATTTTTCATTTACCCAACAATCTGCTTGTGTTACAAGTGTAGCAAACTGTACGACACATGCTTTATGTAAAGATTTATAGAAAGATTGAGGAAAATATTGTGGGTAGGAAAAAAAAATACAGTGAACCCTATGTTTGAAATTCCCAGTCTTTTATTTTTAAGCTTATCATGACTGTAATGCAGTCACTGTTTTAGAAGCATTGCAAAGAATAATAATAGTTTTAAAAACTGTATCGTTTAGACCTAATTTATTTTATTGTAATTGAGCAGTTTGCAAAATGTTAAACTATGCAATAAAAAAAACAAATCCAGGAAGATAAAAGAGCTCCTAACCAGGGAAATCATATCTTCTATATTAGCTGTGGGAATACCTTTTATATGTGATATGGCAGCAGACCATCATGATGGTGTCATGCATCTCTCTAAGCTTGCCTCAAGCCATGTATATGTGTGTGTGTCTGTGTTTGTGTGTGTACATGTCAGCCTGCATTGATTTATGCCGTCTAACAGAGAGGAGCAATTCACTCGGGGGTTTAGAAAAAAGCCACATCCAATAAAGTCTTTGAGCTGAGTGGCCTCTTGGGTTGTTTCCTGTCTATCTGATGGTTCTGCTGTATTTTTATCTGGTTTAAAAAGCTGTGGTTAGTCCAAATTTACACCACTAAAGTAATGTAATGTAGTGAGATATAGAGAATTAAGAAGATCAAGTATTTAAGTGAAGAAATAAATAATTATTGTTTTTTTAATTGTTGCTATTTCTCATTTATACTGCCAGATATATTTATTTTTTTATTTCAAGCTGCAAAATATATTGAATCACCTAATGTTAGCAAAATTGAATTCTCAAATAACTGCTTTGAATGCATAGGGTAATAAATTACGGACATCAAAATAATATGTTTGAGATGCTTACATTTAAAAATGATGAAAAAATGATATTTTTAAGCTTGAAGAGATGGAAAAAATAAGCTTAAAATAAAGGAGCATTTTAGATGCTGACAAAAATAAAGCATGAAAATGATAACGTTAAGCATTTAGAAAAAAAACAAGACAAATCGGGTCGCACTAATTTACTGAACACAATAGGTAAGGAAAGCATGTAAATAAAAATGCCTGAAGCCATTTTATGACACATCTGCTTTACTTGAACATCTTGTCTCTTGCATGTTAAGAATGTATTATTTATACCATAATACTACATATATTTTAATCAACTTAATATAAAATTAAGCAAAAATTACTCGGTTATATTTATTCTATGTAAAATGTTATGGGCGCCTAGTTGTGCTGATATATTCACGGGATAAAAACTCTTTCCTGATAAATAAATGCTGCAAAATACAGGAATTTTTTGTTTTATATTAATACAATTAATTTTTCTTTTCATGTCTGTACAATTTTGTGTTCAATTTTGTAGTTTTTTTTCTCTTGTTTTCTTTTTTCACTATTAATTAAGATAAAAAAAAGGATAAATAGGTTAATGGTTAAAAATACATAAGGGGTCCTAATAAGTGCTGCGGGGCTGTTATATACTGAACAAATTCTGATTTTGTATGACAGTGGGATGGAAATAAACAAATGCAAATAAAAGAATACAAATATTTTAAATCAAATTTGATAATATCATGGAGTATAAGTAAAATGGCCCTCAAATCAAAGGATAACCAAATTCCTAAGTTTAGAAATATGGTTATTATCAGTGCATCTGATTTATTTATACATTTTTTTTTAGCTTTGGAGGAATTTCCTACTTTATTGTGTGCTTGCACCCCCCCCCCCCCCCCCCCCCCACCCCCCCACCCCCCCAATACTATAATTCATAATAAAATAATCGTTAAAAAATTTAAACTTCCCCTAACACACAGAGTTCAGTTAATAAACATCTTTCTGCTCCTTTTTTCCCCACTCAGGGTTCATTTCCAGCGAACTTGCACCTGGTTCTGGTGTTACGTCCCACTACTTTGCTCCAGCGGACTCTCTCGGACATCCTGTTCAAGTACAACAGGGATGAGTTCAAGATGAAGGTGCCAAATGATTGTTTACTTTGTTAAAATTTTATTTGTTGTAATGTATTACCTATTTCTTCTGTTGTCATGGCAAGTATGTTTATGACAGTTGAAGATATATATCTAATGTGATGTGACTGTGTTCAGTGGTGCTTTTGATGTCCCCACATGGGCATGGGCCCAAGGCGCATTTGAAGTAGCAGCTAAGAAAGACCAGATAAAATAATTATTACCAGTATATTGAGTAGATGTTCCTTGTTGAGAAGGGGAATATTGTGTCATAAAGGAATGTACTAAATTTACACAGAATTTTATGATTTCTAGCATCATTGTTTTTTGCATGCTTGTTTTTATTAATCAGGTGGTGATGCTGAGTACAGTGACTGAGCTCCATGCTTATATCGACCCAGGACAACTGACCACAGACCTTGGAGGCACACAGGAGTACCACCACGACAGCTGGATCTCCCACCGCACTGTATGCAACGTGTTTTCTGCTTAGTTAATGCCACTCTTCATGCAATTGAAATAACCGGTGTGTTTCTCATCACAGGCCATCGAGGCGTTCGCTCTGATGGTGAAGACCGTGGCTCAAACCCTGCAAGCGTTCGGCACTGAGCTCGCAGAGACGGAGTTACCCAACGATGCAGAGGCCACCGTCGAGCTGCTGCAGGAACACACGTTGAAAAAAGACACAATGAAGGTTTACCATCACCTTTGTTTTGTACAGGGTTTTGGGAGGGCATTAAACTTGTACCTACGGGAATTAGTTTGTGCATATAAGCAGTAAGTATCCATGATTTTTGGTAGTTTTGTTTCAGTAGTTCACAATTTCAAAGAGCATTAGCCAGAGCATTGACTGATTAGTTCAACACTAACATTAGTTTTTATCAACAAAAAAAAAACCCTAAGCACTAAAGCCCTGAGTTGTTATTTCTGTGACTAATCACAAACTTAACAGAGTTAATTACCTGGACATGAAATCCACAAAATTTCATCTAATGGAGCCAAATTTCAGCCCCATTTACAATACCCTTTTTGGTCCGAGCATGGTAACTGAGATACAGGGTTCCTGCAGATCCCAAAAACAGTCTTAAAAGGCATTGAATTCTTCAATATAAAAAAATAAGGCCTTAATTGGTATTAAACAATCTTAAATCAGTATTTCATAGGCCTTACAATTGTCACCAAGTGTTTTTGTAATTCATATAAAAAATTTAAATAATCCACAATAATTTTTTTGACATTTACCAACCGGCTTTGCTGGAACCATTATTAGTTCAGCGGAACCAGCGCTAGTTAGATATGCTCATGCTAGTTAAATATTTAAAATAAGTTCTTTTGTCCCATTTGCAGTAGCAAATATGACTGTTTGGCTTTTTGACAATATGGTCAACAAGAACAAGCTAGTTGAAACTATTTTTATTTAGCGAGCTAGTTTCCAATTTAGCTAAATTATGGAGCTGCTAGTAAGATGGTAGCTCCAATTGACATGAGCTACTTAGGTACATTTTTATGGCCCTATTCAGCTATTGCTCAAGTTTAAGTACAGTATATATGGATCAGATTGTTTCGACAACTTCATATCAACATTCTTTATGCAGACTTCCAAACTCATGGGAGGAAATATGACTTATTAGTTGACTAGTTTGCCAAAAAAAAACTCTTAGTTTGGAATAATGAGCTGAAGGGGTGGCACTCCGGTGTAGGATTTTAGCTGTTACTGTCTGGATAAAAGTAGAAGGTGAAAGTAATTTTAGAAATGGAGCACTAACATTGATTTAGGCAAATGTATAAATAGTGCTGTGTAGTTGTGCATAAAGACTAATATCAACAATTCATATTTATACTGTAAGAATTCCTGCTAGCCACACTGGTGAGGGTTTTTTTAAATGCCAGGTGGTTACCTGGTTGAATAAAATCGACTAGTTAGGTTTATTTGGTTGGGTCAAAACAGTTTTGTTTTATTTTTTTCCTGACTTTGAATAAAGACAATGTTTGCAATAATTATCTCTCCAATTACCAGACGGACCTGAAGGTGGCGCTGTCTCAAGGAGGGCGTCTTCTGGCCTGTATCAATGAGCCTCTGCAGGCAGATGCTGAATACAACATGACACAAGATGAAATGGAGAACTTGGCTACTGTTCAGAGGTGCATGGACGGATGGATGCATCCAAAATATTGCATTTTTCCATTAACTAATAAAAAAAACAAAAATAAACTCTTTTCACACTTTTGTTTCAGACTCATGGGTCAGCTGGATGAAACAGAGACTGCGTTTGATGATTTCTGGGAACGTCACCGCACCAAGCTGGAGCAGTGTTTGCAGCTCCGACACTTCGAAAAGCACTTCCGTGAAGTAAATGAAGCCTAATCCCAGGAAACTTTGTTTTCCAACTTACATGAAGAAAATTAACCTTCAACCTCTTCTTGTTTCTTAGGTACGCCCCCAGCTTGATGTGATGTATGAGCGTCTGTCGGGTTTCTCTGAAATCAGCATAAGTCCCGCCCATGCAGAACATGTCCTGCGAGAGCTCAGCAGCCATGAGGAGAGAGCTTATGTAAGATCCCAGTTCAAAGAAAATACAAGGTTGAAATTCTGCAGAGGGGACACAGAAACACAGTTCAATGTTAAATATATTCCCAATACATTTAAGTTTAGTCGTTATGTTACAAAAACAAAATCTCAAGAGCCTAATTAGGATTAATTACATTTGATGAAAACAAAGCGGTGCTGTGTAAAAATTGATGGAAGGTGTGGTGGAAATGAGGCACCATTTATTTGCCAAAAGAATATAATACCACAAAGTACCTACACAACCCACCTAATTAGTAAATACAATTTGTGTTAAACCAGCTGTTCTGTGAAGGACTTGGACGTTTGTGAACCAATAGCATGATCATGGGGCAGAAATTCGGGAGAATAGTGATAATAACTGTAAAGATTCCATTCCGGGAATAAAACAAAGTTTAAAACATCACAGGGAGAATTGTGTAATCCAACATTGAAAAAAGAAATACCGGCAAACGGCCGTGAGCTTCACTAACAGGCTAGGGAAGGAGAGCCTTGCTTTTAGAAGGCAGTTACTTTAGAGGAGCTGCATAGATCCTCAGCTCAGGTGGAGAAACTGCTAAATGCACAATTAGTAGCTGAGTACCTCACAAAAGTTGGCTTTATGGAGGAATAGCAAAGCCTTAACCTCTTAATATCCACCTCATTTTTGGAAATTCTCGCCTATTTTACATACCCAAATGGAAAAGCAAATAACTTAGGAACTGTAAGCCCAAATTACATGTATGATAAATTATTTTTAAGCTAACACATTCTAGTTTCTGAATATATACATGAACATTGGGTGAGTAAAAAACCCAAGCTGCATCAAGCTCAAGTTGCATCTGTTCAAGAGAATCTAAGCTTTTCAACAATGTCTAACATGTCTATATTGGTAAATATTTTAATAGTGTAATTTTCATGCATTCTGAGTTAATATGTAAATGCTCTAAAACGGGTTTTGAGAGGTTAAGAAATCCTTTATAAATGAAAGTAAAATTTTCACTGCACATCAGCCTAAACACACCATCTTCAAAGTGACTGGACTATTGTTCCTCTCTTCAGCAGGGACAAGAAATCGGCTGAGAAGTTGATAGGAAGATCGATTGAGTTAAAATAAGGCAAAGCCTCTTGGAAAACCTTTAACAAGCTGCAAAGGATACTTGAAGAATAGGTGGAGATTCACCTTCCAGCAGCAAAAAGAGCATTTAATGTACATCTGGAGCTACAACAATATGCTTCATATCAAAATATATTAGAATCTTTGAATGGCCTAGTCAAAGTCTTAAAGATACCCAATTTTGAGCTTCTTTTTAATCCACTTCGAAATGATGTAGGTTTTATGTTTGTCCATCAAATAAAATCCCAAATGAAGTATTTTGCAATACTGTTACTTTTAGATTAGTTCCTCCTGTTTTTTTTTTTGTTTTTGTTTTTTAAATGATCCATTGTACAAAATCAGAGATTTAAAGCATTTTTGTAGAATTTCTGATTGGGTCCAGTGTTTATAAAGCAAAGAAAGATGTTACCAACATTTCTGACCTGTTTAACCAGAGTTATTGGTATGAAAATGATGGGTTGAGTCACAAACTCTACCATGCAGTGTTTCATCAAAAGATTGCCTCAACACAAAGTTTTATTTTTCAGAAACAATGATGTTCCGTGTTAAGATGCCATGTCTCTGTTGTGTTTCATCAGGAGCTGATAGACCTCGCCTTGTCTCTAGCCAATGAAGGGGACCGGCTAATAGAAAACTCCCACTATGCTGAGGACAGCATCAGGCCAAAGTGCACCGAGCTAAGAGGAGTGTGTGAGGAGATCAGCTCTACTTTGAGGAGCAAGAAGAGCCTTCTGCTCAGGGCCTTGGAGCTGCACCACTCTCTGGAGAAAGTAGGAAAACAAAGTCAGGTGCAGGGATAAAAGAAATCTGGATGAGGTGCTTAAATTAATATCCTTGTAGGCATTCCAGTGGTGTGAGGAAGGCATCTTCCTGCTGGCCAACCAACCAGTGGACCGATGTCAGTCTCAGGATGGAGCTGAAGCAGCTCTGCAGGAACTTGAGCGATACCTGGACACTGCAGCTCTGCACACCATCACAGACCGCGGCGCCATCTGCTGTCAGTATGAGGCTGTGCTTAATCCTCAACTTAGGGTCAGTGGACGGATTTCACCTCATCCTTTACTGCAATATATGCAAGGATGTTAAGGTTGTGCTCTCTCTCGTATCAGGACCATATTGATAAAGTTTTCCAGAAGCAAAGTTCTGTTCAGGAGATGTTTGAGAAGAGACGAGTTAGTCTGAAGAAACTTGCTGCCAAGCAAACCAGACCAGTCCAGCCAGTAGCACCAAGACCTGAGGTCAAGTCTCCACTTTCCTCTCCCAGTAAGTCCTCACTAAATACATGCATTCAGATATACAACTGTAATTAGAATAAATGAAATGTGAACAGTAAAAGAAATCAAATGCTTTGCAGATCTACAGAGGAAAGACAGGAGATTCTCAGCAGACAGTGCCCTCTGTAAAAAGGTAAATGCATAAATTTAACTTATATTTTAATCTGGGACTTTTTCACTTTTTTATGAGGTTATAAAAAAGAAAATAAATAATTACGTTTTACGGCAACCATTATTATTTGCCTTTGCTGTTAGTAAATTGTTGATTAAATCATATTTGTATACATCAGAGCATCACAGCAGCTCAAAGTAGTGCAGGGAAAATTAGCTATTTTAGCAAAAACTAAAAAGTGTGGAATGCATTTGCATTTTGAACATTTATACACTGAGATCTTTGTCAAATTTTCTTTGCATAATAGTGAGATTCACAATAGGGTTTACCCAAAACTATTAAGTGCCTCCTAAAGTTAATACCAAAATTTCCAATTACTACATATGTGTGTGTGCATGTGTATACATTAATAATGTGTGATTGTTTAAACATCCTTTTGGATTTGTTTGTTTAGTAAAATTCAGATCAAATCCGCTTCTGTAACTATAAAGCTCTTTGTCTATGGGGTTTACTTCTTAAAGCTCAGCGACACGTGTGTAAATATTTATGAACTGTGTACGTTTTTCCAAGGGGGAGTCTCCTGTACACAATGGGAGCACAAGGCACGCTTCCCTTTCAGAAGAAGAGGAAAACCTTGCAGTACTTCGTCGGTAAGTGCTCATAGGTCCTCCACTGGATTCATAAGCTGTCATTTACCTTCTTTAGGAATTGGTTTGGGGTTTGTTAAATCATGGCTACAACCCAACAGCAGCTAGCTTCTTTTAGATCAATCTAAAAGCTTTGCTTGTACTGTTTCCTTGGTTTTTAAGTCATGTGATGAACGAGCTTCTGGAGACGGAGAGGGCGTATGTTGAGGAGCTTCTGTGTGTGCTGGAGGTGAGTGTATTTTACTCACAGATTAGAGGAAAAAATAAAAGATGGCTCCATCCTGTGGCTGCAGTCATTTGGTGATTTTCCTGGCAGGGATATGCGGCAGAGATGGATAACCCCGCCATGGCTCACCTCATCCCCAGCACCCTGCAGAGCAAGAAGGACATCCTATTTGGGAATATGCCTGAAATCTATCAGTTCCATAAGAGGTACACGTCTCTCTGCATGCTTTGTTTTGTTCAAACCGAAATCAACACCGTTTCAAATAATCGTGGTAATTTATTTCTCCGCAGGACGTTCCTGAAGGAGCTAGAAGCATACACAGACTGCCCAGAACTCGTAGGCCGCTGCTTTTTAGAGCGGGTAGAGTCTTCGTGGATTAATTTTGTCACAGATAACCTTCACTTTTCTTAGGCACTCTGTTCGTTAAATGTTCCTGTCCTTAAACGTCCCTGCAGATGAAAGACTTGCAGATCTATGAGGCTTATTGCCAGAATAAACCTCGCTCTGAGAGCTTGTGGAGACAATGCTCAGACTGTGCCTTCTTCCAGGTTTGCCTCTTTATTTTCCCCCAGCAACATGTCTTTAGGGTGAAATTCAGTCTAGATATAAATTAGTTTTGTTTTGTGTCTCTAGGAGTGCCAGAAGAAGCTGGAACACAAACTTGGTTTGGACTCTTACCTCCTTAAACCTGTCCAGAGAATCACAAAGTACCAGCTACTTCTAAAAGTGAGCCAGGCACATGCATTACGTCAATTATTTGGGGGTATAGTTTGTTAAAAAAAGGGTCAGCATTACTTCCCATCTGCTCCTGCAGGAGTTGCTGAAGTACAGTAAAGGCTGCGATGGTGCTGATGACCTACAGGAAGCTCTCTCCTCTATCCTGGGGATCCTGAAAGCCGTCAACGACTCCATGCATCTCATTGCCATCACAGGATACGAAGTATATTTCTACCAGCTTAAAATGTCTACAAAAGAAAGTTGTTTTTTTAATGAATATTTTCTTCATTTAGGGTAACCTCTCAGAGCTAGGTCGCCTTCTGATGCAGGGCTCTTTCAGTGTTTGGACAGAGCATAAAAAAGGCCATGCCAAAGTGAAGGACCTGGCCAGGTTCAAGCCTATGCAAAGGCACCTGTTCCTGCATGAGAAAGCTCTGCTCTTCTGCAAAAGGAGGGAGGAGAACGGAGAGGGCTATGAGAAGGCGCCATCGTACAGCTTCAAGCATTTGCTCAGAGTAAGAGCAAGCTGTTTTTATATCAAAATGATGACCTCGCTGCATGTAGTGTAACTATCTACGGTGTTTCTTTTGCAGATGGGCGCAGTGGGCATTACAGAGAATGCTAAAGGAGACAACAAGAAGTTTGAGATTTGGTGCAATTCCAGAGAGGAAGTTTTTATAGTGCAGGTAACATCAAATAAATCGACTCGTATTATATGTCTGCAGAATAAGCACAAAGGAACAATGAGTTGCTTTTTCTAGGCTCCAACGACGGATATTAAAACGGCGTGGGTGAATGAGATCCGGAAAGTTCTGACTCAGCAGCTCAAAGCCTGCAGAGGTAGACGGGTTTGCTCTGCTTTCTCTTGTTTTTTTTACTTTTTTATTTATTTAACTCAGCCTAGTTGAGCTTTAACCTTGCTTTCTGCTGTAATATGTTGTTTCAGATGCCAAACAGCAGAAGAGTTCAGACTCAGCTTCTCCAAACGCCACCAGCAATAACACCTCCGTCTCCCTTAGGTTGGTGTTCAAGCATGGGTTCAAATCCCACGTGTTTGTCGCTTTTTCCTGTTCATTTTTCAAGGTTCTCATCTGTATTTGAACTTCTTTAGTTCAACGGATTATTTGTCCATCTTTGAGATGTTTTAGCCTGCTTCTTGCTGTCAAACTGGTTCTGTTGATCTATTGTACAGGTTTGGTAGTTCATTCAATTTTTAATATGAGATGGAGGGGAGCTATTACGATTTAACACGGGGTATGCTTCCTGTATTGACTCAGGTTTTCCATTAGATGTTCACTGGAATCTGTGATTTGAGATAAAACAGAAGAAATCTGTACAGAGAACTAATTTACTTAAAAAGTCGCATCTCAATCTCCTCTAGTCCCTTCCGTCAGAAGAACCAGAAGAAGCAGGATGAGAAGAAGTTGGAGCCCAACCTGACCTCAGAGGCCAACTCATGTCCATCACCAAAACAAAAAGGTAAATAATCACTGCGTCCCACAAAGATATCATTATTTTTGCTGCCGGGCTTTAAAAGCGTCCCCTGCTGAGGGCTGCTCAGTCAGCTCTCTGTAATCTGGACTCTTTTTCTCTGCCATCTTCATCTCCACGACTCCATTTGCCCTATTCCTACCCACTGCCCCCCGGCTACCATTTTGCCCCCCCTCCCCTGGTTATCCATTTCAAACCATTGCCTCCAGATGAAGCTGTGTCCAGTCCGACCACTGACAGGTCCTCAGCGGCTAAAAAGCGTTTTACTTTGCAGGGTTTCAGCAACCTCAAGAGTCCCAAAGGTAACATTAGAGACATGGACAGGAGTTTTCTGTATTGTTATGCTCGAGGTATTCTGCCACCTAGTGGTGAAAGAGAAACAGTTCTTGCTTCTTTTTTTTTTTGCTATCTTTTTTTTGCTATTGCTTCTTTCCTCTCCGCATGCCCAGGCTCAGCTCTAAGTCCTGAGCACTCGTCCAAACGCCATTCGGTCAAGAGCGACCCAACGCCGTTTGGGTTCAAAGGTACTTCCGTGTCCCGTTTGTGGCAGGGGGTGTTGGATTTTTTTAATGCCCATCATTCATTCTCCCATCCCTCCTCATTGGTGTGTCTCCCACTCTTGCAGTTAGACTCTCATTTCACATTTAACTTGTTTTATACGTGCTATTTGCATGGGAAGCCATTCTTTTAGTCCATACTCTTAGACTTTTAGACATTATGTGGACACAGAGTGTATACAAAACGAAATCTTGTTCAGTACAGCTCTCAAGACATTTCCATTGCTAAAGTGCAGCAGCGATAAAATGTTAACATGGTGATCAAAAGTATATGATTTACAGTTTCCAGCAGTCAGCGTTGTTTTCTTTTTGTGTCTATTTCTGACATAACGTTTCTCTGTGGCACACATGTTCAGGCCAGCAGTTTAAGACTGCTGTGGAAACAGGTTTGGATGTTGAATAACCATCGAGATTCACGCCTCTCCTAAACAGGAACTTCCTAAAACATCTATATGAATGCAAAATGAACATGAACATAGATTGGGAGGATGTTGTGCCGAAGAAAGAGGAAGGAGTCGCGTTTGGTGGTGGTAGCATCATGCTGTCGGATTTCTTCACAGGTGCATTTTAAAAATGGACCGGAATAATTAAATTCAATTCATTTTATTTATATAGCCCCTATTCACAACACATGTCATCTCAAGGCACCTTACAGTTCACCAGATCATACAGTCAAATTGATTTAAAGTTTTATATCTACAATGGAAAAAATATCTAGAAATAAGTAAAAATTTCTTAAATTAAGTGTATTTACCCTTAATTTGAGTAGGTAAATGAGATAGTTTGCCAATGGAATGAGTATTTTTACTCTTAAAATAAGATATTTAGATCCTATGCACTTGAAATAAGACAATGCAATTGTGTTTTCTCATTTTAAGTGTAAATTGTCTTGTTCTATTGGCAAAATGTCTCTTTTACCTCCTTAATCCAAGAAGAAATGCACTTATCTTAAGAAAAAATGACTTTAGCTGTAAGGAAAACCAGTTGATTGCATCGACTCATTGACTTAAATGTAGTCCCTCACACTAAGCATGCTTATAGCAAGAGTGGAGAGGAAACACTTTCTTTTAACAGGAAGAAACCTCTAGCAGAACCAGGCTCAGTGTGAGCGCCCATCTGCCAAGGTTCAAGGAGACAGAAGCAGACATACAAAAAGCGGGTTTAATAATGAAATTAAACCTGGTGTAATATTCCTTAATGTCACTTTAATGCAAAAACTATCCCTTGGAAACTCAGATCGACTATTTTTCTTTTTTCTAAAGAAGGCAACATAAAAATAGTAGAGTAGAAAAGCCCACAGACAAAAACAAAGGGATAAAAAAAACAACCCTAGAAAACATTTCCAGGATATAAAATCAAACGGTAGGACAATGTATGCAAAATTAGAACAAGGCAGAGAATCAACAAGAGAATTAAGTTTTGTACATTTAACTGCAACATCACATCGTGAAAGTAAAACATTACCGTATTTTCCAGACTATGAAGTTGCAGCTTTTTTTAATAGTTTGGCCGGGGGTGTGATTTATACTCTGGAGTTTCAACATTGGTGTTAACTAATAAAAACAAATGAGCAAGGCTTACCAACAATGGCACCGAAAAGAAAATCATATTCTGCAGATTACAAGCTTCAAGTAGAAAGATATGCAGGCAAAAACTGTAATCGAGCAGAAGAAAGAGTTGTTTAAAAGTGACACAGAGGATAAAGATTTCATTATTTCATTGGTTTTAGTAATTTGGAGCATGTTATTTATGCTATAGTATTAATATGTTATGTTAACATACCGGGCACATTCTCACTTTGTTGTTTATGTGTCCTGTAACGTAATATTTTTATTTTAAATTGCCTTTCAAGATGACATGTCTGTTCTTGGTGTTAAATTTTATCAAATTAATTTCCCCCAAAAAGGCAACTTATATTCCAGTTAGACTTATATATGTCTTTTCCTTCTTTATAATGCATTTTATGGCTGGTGTGACTCCGGAGTTACCTATAATCCAGAAAATACTGTACTTCAAAAAGATTGTAGAGAACAAGACAGTAAGAACACTAAATAAAATGAACAAAAAAAAGGCTGAATTACGGAACTGCTGGGGTTCCGTATATAGATATCAGGGTTCCTGATCATAAAGAGAGAAATGTTCATTTTCTGAACTGTATTAATGTTTTTTCACAGATTTACAAAGTAGAAGGATATGGAGTTATTTTTGTGGGTTTTTAAAAAGATGTTTTTAAATTAAATTCCAGGGGAAAAAAAAAGATAATCTGAAAGGTAGAAAAAAAATGTCAGATCATGTTTTTTTTTTTCTTGAATTCATTAAAAGCACAAAAATAACTCCATAGAAAAATCCCATTTTTCAACACCATCCAACACGGTAAGGATTTAGTGAAACGACATTTGTGAGGCTTCCGACAAAATCATTCCAGACACGCCTTGAAGCTTGTTTTGATGAGGGATTAGAATGCTAATCTAAAGCTTCAGGAATAACCCTGATCAGAAGCCGTTTCAGGGCAAATGCACAACCAGAATAATGCCAGAGAATTTGTTAACATGCTACATGCAACTTTTCTCTTTGCAGATTAGCCTGAAAAGTTATTCCCATAAGTCTGCAGGTTTCATGCAATGCATCACATTTTTACATTGATGTAAAGGTTACTGTGCTGAAAGCCCTCTGAGAAATTTAGCCAACCTTCCTGGGATGCCTAATCCAGCTCAACCAACTGCCTGGATGCTTTACTAACACCTGCAGCTGTTCAATGTGGAACCAAACGTTACTAAAATGTCTGTCATCTATTCTGTCGGTCTGCTGTCATTCATTTGCTGGCAGTTTCTTCCCCCTTTTAGAGCTGGCTCCACGCAGCACTCTGACCAGAGTCAAATGGATGAGTGCCTCTAATCTGTTACAGAGCAAGCGGCAAGGTAACACTGCTGCTTTCAAGGTTCAGGGTTTAGCCGCTCTTCTGGTGCCTCCCTATGGTGAAGCTAGCAACATATCCAATTTTAAACACATTAAGACGAGAAACAATTAAGTGTAATCTGAAATTAAGCATTAAATATTTAATTCTAAAATGCCTGCTTCACCATAAAGCTGTTATTTCTCCTTCTTCTTCTTATCTTGGGTGTTTTCAGGGATTTTGTTCAACCTCTTGGAACATTTTTAAACATTCATATGCAAGTTTAAAAAGGACAGATCTGTAAGAACTGAAAAATTATCATCTTTGGATCATTCTGTTTCCCCTTCATCACTTCTATTAAATTCATTGTCTCTGGGCATTTGGGGCTGACCTTTTGTTTTCCATCCTCTTCTAGTGGATTGGTTGGTCTTGTTTTGACCTGCTCCTGATGTGACTGACATTCAGTTTGTAACCACAATATCACTATTTTTTTCTGAAAAGATTATTTGGATAAAAGAATTGGTTGTCCAGGGTTCAATCTGATGTCGCATCACAGTCTGAGAGTATCGAGTCTTTTCTGAGTGCATCAAAGATGTTCTTCCTCCTGTCTTTAATTTATCATGATCATCCTTTGAATGTCTCACTCGAACAGGCTGGAACAAGCCGTCTCTATCAGCGGACGCCTCAGAGGAGAATGATGGCTTCTCCAGTGGAGAGGACCCCATGAACTCTGATACTGAGGATGATGTCGTGAAAAAGCTGGTGAGCTGGAAATCCCTCCCTAATTTTTTTTATTTACATTTTTTTGTAAACTGTAAGGATTTCTTAATTTTAAAAAAAATATATACATATTTTTAACCCTTTAGGCTCCAGGAAAGTACACTGTGGTAGCAGACTGCGAGAAGGCTGGTCCTCAAGAGCTGTCTGTGAAAAGTGGAGACATGGTCCAGCTGATCAGAGAAGGGGAGGAGGGACAATGGTAACATCTTTCCTTCTTTTATGAAAAATACTCCTAATTTAAGGACTACAGCATCTAGCATTATGCTAGAACTACACACTTTCAATCTATTATATTTGGATTTCTGCACATTAAAGGTATAGTGGAAGATTTTTGCGAATTTTTGAAAATACCTGCACACTTAAAAAAAATGCACATGCACAGCGAACGCCTGCTAAACGCTTGCGAGAGCGTGCAGGAGCCCATTTCTCCTCATGCATGCTCTGTTTAAAAATTGCTCTTTGCATCGCTCATACAAGCTTACTTTCCAAAAGATTTGCAATTTTTCCACAATGTCAGACTCACCACCAGTAAGTCAAAATTGGGACGAGAACATATCACTAGAATAATTGACAATTAGGAGGACCACTTATTTTGTTAATCCACCTGGAAAAAGAACCTCCTCCACTATACCTTTAAGATTGAATTTTGTTACACACAGTCTTACGTCTTCTACCATGCTCCAGGCTTTTGGAAAACTGCAAACAGGAGTTATCCCTCTTTTGGACAGTTAAAATATGTGGAGTTTGTAGATAATAGATCCTCTGTTAATGGATTATTTTTAGCCTGACTCATCCAGAGTTAGTATGGCTGCTCTGTTGACTTCATCCAATGTTCAGATAATGAACTGAGCAACCCATTTCACACTTTTTATTTGCTTATTTTCTAAAAATAATAAAAACTATGCACCCTTCTTCTTCCACATCACATACATATGTTAATTTAGCAAAAGAACTGGAAACACTACATGTTCAATGTCTATCAAGGGAGGTGTTCTATGTCAGATTGTTGTGACTAAAGTGAATATAATCCTCTGTAGGTTTGTGAAGAACCTTCGCAGCGGTAGAGACGGCTGGGTGGCAGCTGCAAACCTCCTCAGCCTCATCTCAGAGTCCAAATCATCTCAATCGCTGAGCAGCTCTGGTAGGTTACCTTGACAGGAAATATTTTCAGTTCTCATTAACTATTTATCCTGTTTCACACACAAGCATAAGCAGATTGCTTCCATTTTTGTCCTGCAGATGGCAGCGTCTCTGGGAACCTGAGCACCTCTTCCAGCTGCAGTGAGACCTACACCAGCTTCTCAGACATCAAACCCTAACCTAAGATCTCTGTCCCATCTCCATCCCCTTCACCTTTAAGTTATTTTCTACTTGCATCAAAAAAATCTGCAGCTTTCTCTGACAGAACAGAATCAGTGTTTCATTTTTTTATGAAACAGGCACCCCCGACTTTAAGGTATTCTTGCACCTTACAATTTTTTTTTTTTTTTATCACGTAAAGCATCATCTCCTGTCAGGTCAACTTTTAAAAAAAGTTTTTTTGTTTACCGAATGGGTGTTCAGTGCCATAGCGTGATTATGTAGCATAAAAAAAGACTTAAAAAAAAAGAATATCTGCACTAAACTCAGCAGCACTGGAGTCACCCTGACCCCCTTCAAGTCGAGGACATTGCAGCACAGCGACAGATTCTTAATCAGAACTCGCACAGATGCTATTGAACAGGTATTTCGCGTATTCCAACGCCTTTAGTGGCTGGCATTGATCGTACACTGTGAAAAGTGGCGGCTGGCTGCAACAAGAATCATGCTGGTGGTGCGTCCTGGAGTGAAACCGGACCCTAGGACACGGAAGAGGTGTTAAAGCCCTGCTGTGTGTGTTTTTGGCACACAAAAAAAATGTAAGTCACCGGATAAACAAAGGTACTTATGTCTTAAAGGTCGAATGTCACCAAAAGCTTCACATCTTGCACTTATCTACTCAAATATTGGCAGCTTTGACATCTAAATACCTTTTTTTCATTTGAAATGGGGCCTCGCCTCTGAGGCGCGCTCCACTTTACCTCTCAGGAAAACCTTGTTGCTTGGTCAAGCAGGTGCAACTGCATACCTGTGTGTTTTAGCTGTCTTTGTGTGCACATTCCCAGCTGCCAGTTCAGAACAACTGTTTTACTGCAGGAGTTTCAAAGGGGCTGATAACAGTCAAATAAGTGGCGATATAAATCACTTCCCAGCACTGTGTGACTGCGACCCTCGTCGCTGCACGTTGAAACTATCAAATGACGTCGCACGCCTAAATCAACCGCGTTCATGTTTGTTATTTTTATGTGCCAGCTGCACAAAAGAAAGCTTTGTCCTCGGTCCCCACTCCCAGCCCCATTCAGGCATGTGACAGACCTGCTCAACATGTTTGAGGCGACGCCTGCGCTCTACCAACATCTTAATGTGGCTGACCCCATTCAGAAATAATGAAACAGAAAAAAAAAATGTACTTATTGCAGGAATTAAACAGGAGGAGGAAGCTGTAATGTTATAAACACTGGATCACAGCCTCCGTCTGAGAGCAAACATGGTTTTATATACCCCAGGTTTCTACTGTATTCACAAGGCGCTGTAAAGTTCTCTCTTCCTTTATTTTTATGAACAGGAATGCGCAGGGCGCCGGTGAACTAAGCCCAGCTCCACCCGTTTATTGCTCAGAATGAGCCTGACGTCTCTGCTGGTAAAAGGAGAGGAAGAAACTTTTACTGCAGGCCTTTTAGTTTCAACGTTTGTGTGGCTGACCGGCCTTATGTGTTGATAAATGTACCTCTTCTATGGATGTCACCTCTATACCTCATGCTGTTTGCCCTCAAGAGCACGTATACTGTAAAGAAGAGTCTGTTTGTCCCAGCTTTTCACTCCTTGTGGCATGCTCCTCACAGCTCCCCATTTTAAACCTTAAAATATATATTTTTTACCTGCCACTGTTCGTATGTTACGAGAGTTTATTTTCTGCCCTCTGAAGGAAAGCTGACGAGGGCACTAAAACATGTCAGGGTTCGATCGTGGTCACACCTTAAAGTGAAATGAATCATTTGTATGGCTGGCAAAAAAAAAAAAGAAAAAAGAATGGGTATATTTTCTAATTTTATTTTTTATGCAGCACATTGCGGCAATCACTCTCTTTATTTTCTGATGGTATATCTACTGTGTATGATGGTGAACTAAAAGATGTTATTATGAGACATATATGTATATTTGTACATATGTATTCTGACTTGTATGTATGATTAAAGCAGCTTTAATAAAGTCTTAATCTCTTGTTTTCTTAATCTCTTGATTACGTCAACATTTATTTTTTAATTTTCAAATGCTCCAACTGACAGTCATGTCGTGCATTAGGTGCAAACATGTTCCAATTACTTATCAGTCCAACCTTTGCAGCCTTTTCTCCTTTATTGTCTCCTATCATCTCTAAGGAAGGTACCAATTGATGTAGTCTAAAGGTAAATGTATCTTCTTTTGTGGCAGTAAATGAGCAGAGAAGATACCAGGGAGGATTTAAAATATGGTTAAAAATAAATATATTACAGTAAGTGTTGGAGTCTCGGTGATCATCATTGAAATTTTATCTTGGCTCAGGAGGAAAAACAAAAAATAGAAATAGAGATTTTTCAGCCGATTATCAATGGAGTCTTTGTATCCCGAAATATAATTTACCCCCATAGGGAAAACAGATGATCTCTCTTTATTTAATTCTTAGAGAAAAGCTTTGTTATTCTCCTCATATTCTGACCTCTTTATCTTCTGCATATAGTGCCACCTTTTGAGTGAGAGTTTTATTGTCAGAGGTCTTCAGCGACCACTAGTTGATCCTTTGGACAGATACAGATGCTGAAATTTACACCATATGGTCTGCAGCTACATGACATTGCATTATTTCTAGTTTTGTTATTTTCACCCTTTTACGTCTATGTAGGATTTTTTGTAACATCCATTAATCCAGGCACACCAGAGGATTTAGATTTTGATAACTGTCTTCTAAAAAAATGAGCAAATTATTTAAAGTCAGCTTTTTTATCTATACCAGTTTGATTTCTGTCAACAAGGAAGATTAAATCAGACAAAAAGGTGAGGGTACAAATATGTGAAATATGAGCTCAAATGGCAATGTCTAAAGACTATAGATCCTGCCTTTAAATTACTTTTTATCCATCTAAACGCAAATCTGTTTTCTTAGCACATACTAGTCTTAATTGCAAGCTGAATTTGACACTTTGCTTCACCTTCTATATAAAAATAAAGTTAACATGTAAGGAACACAGCATATCTTCATTTAAATCAAACTACTGTCAAATCTAACTGTCCATTTAGGAAGCAACACTGATTATTTCACATGCCATTGTGCAAATAAAATAGACAAAAGCTGGAAATAATTGGCAATTATCGTAATATGAGAAAGGCTGTACAACCCACACGAGTGGCTCAGGTAGTGCAGCTCATCCAGGATGGCACATCACTGCGAGCTGTGACAAGAAGGTTTGCTGTGTCTGTCGGCGTAGTGCCCAGAGGCTGGAGGTGCTACCAGGAGATGTGGAGGAGGGCAACAACCAGCAGCAGGAATACTACCTCTGCCATTGTGCAAGGAGAAACCGGAGGAGCACTGCCAGAACCCTTGTGCTCTGCTGGAATAACCTCCAGCAGAGCACAAATCCACATGTGTCTGCGCAAACAGAAACAGACTCCATGAGGATGGTATGAGGGCCCGACATCCACAGATGGGGTTGTGCTCATTGCCCAACACTGTGCATGACACTTGGCATTTGCCAGAAAACACCAGAATTGGCTAATTTAAAACTGGCTACCTCTGCTCTTCATAGATGAAAGTAGATTCAAACTGAGCACACGTGACACAGTCTGCAGACACAGTGGAGAGCGATCTGCTGCCTGACACATCGTTCAGCATGACCAGTTTGGCACTGGGTCAGTAATTGTGTGGATTGGCATTTCTTTGCAGGGGCGCACAGCCCTCCATGTGCTCGCCAGGAGTTGCATGACTGACATCAGGTACCGAGGTGAGATCCTCAGACTCCTTGTGAAACCATATGCTGGTGCAGTTGGCTCTGCTAGCTCTCATGTGGCTGGAGTATGTCAGCACTTCCTGCAAGATGAAGGTATTGACGGTATGGACCTGCTCACTCGTTCCCCAGACCTAAATCTGATTGAGCACATCTGGGACATGTCTCGATCCATCCATCAATGTCACCTGACACCAAAAACTGTCTCGGAGTTGGTGGATGTTTTAGTTCAGTTCTGGGAGGAGATCCCTCAGGAGACCATCCAGCATCTAGTCAGGAGTATGCCCAGGTGTTCTAGGAAGGTCATACAGGGATGTGGAGGCAACACACACAATAGTGTGCCTCATTTTGATCTGATTTAAAGACATTGCATCAAAGTTGGATCAGCCTATATTGTGTTTTTCCACTTTAATTTTGTGTATTAGTTCAAATCCAGGCCTCCATTCATTAATACATTTGATTTCCACTGATATTTTTGTTGTCAGCACATTCAACTTCGTACAGAACAATGCACTCAATGAGAATATCCCATTCATTCAGATCTAGGATGGGTTATTTGAGTGTTCCCTTTAATTCAGTTCTATTTAGTTTATTTATATAGCGCCAATTCACAACACACGTCATCTCAAGGCATTTTACCATTCAACCAGATCATACGGTCAAATTGATTCAAAGTTTTCTATCTAAGGAAAACCAGTTGATTGCATCGACTCATTGACTCGAATGCAATCCCTCAAACCAGGAATGCTTGTGGCGACTGTGGAGAGGAAAAACTCCCTTTTAACAGGAAGGAACCTCCAGCAGAACCAGACTCGGTTTTAGCAGTGTATACAGAGAAATTGTTCCTATAAAATCACATGTAGTTTGAAAGGTTCTGTAAATGATTATATATGGAACCATCCTAATCACAGTGACACAACATTTGTAGTATAACTCAAATTTTATGCTATTGAAGTGATTTATTTTGAGCTGTCATTCAAGATTTGATGCTTACAATTTGGCTCATTTGGCTTTCCATACATTTGGGCTGCATTCCAGTTAGTTGGAACATAAAAAAACTAAACCTCTAAAATTTAGAAAAAATATGGTCTATAAAAACGAAAGAAAAAAACAACGAAAGAAAAGAAGGGAATTCAAAAGCCTACATTGATGTAAAGCGACGGCGAAGGTACTGAGGAGAGATGTGAACGAGAAAAAGATACAACTTAGTCAAGTTAGAAAAGATAAAATAAATAACTAAAACCGGAAGTGGGGTATTTTAAGGTCGTGATCAAAAAGTCTCACTGAAAACAGAAAATAAAAAAACACAACAACAAGCTAAGCACGACGCTAAAAAATAAAAATAAAAATGATTTTACCTTACAAGTATTACTTTTTCATTTATATACACTAATTCCCTTTGTACATAACTAATCCTTCCTGATTTTAATTTGAAAGTCCGGGCCGGATGTAGTCGATTTTCTTCACGCTAGCCTTTTAGAATACCGGAGAACAACCAGATGGAATTCTGCACTCCCTTCTTACCAGATTCCTCGTGTTTTAAATTGTATCGCAGGCATTTTTAGCGGACATTGCGGCCCACAAACAGCCCTGGCGTGAACTCAGAAAGCTTTACGGGGAGGCTTGGCTGCGCTGTGAACCGGGACTGGAGCGGTCCGGGCCGTCTATAAAGCACCGAACATCTTTCCGTTGTAAGTATCAGACCTAGCTAGTGCTGCCAAACAGCAGTAGCTTCTTGTTGCCCTTATGGCTCTATATCTCTGCCCTTGGCAGTGTCTACAACTTCACCTAACGGTTTATAACGTCTGTCATGGTGGTACAGGAGGGGGAGAGGGGGGGTATTGTCCCTCCCTCTCCTTCGTGCAGTTGTTACTGCTGGGATGCTGTGGTTAGCTTCAGAAATCCGTCAAACAAGAAGGGAGTTTGGCTGGAGGCGAGAGGGGTGTAGCTTTGCTTAATCACATTGTCTGGGACTGTTAATGCGGCCTTATGCGCTGATCGCTTCCTTCCACCTCCTTGCTAGCTCTTATCCATCTAAACCCTGCCCTGTATGGGTGATTTAGCTCTCTGGCTTCATGTATATGCCGAGCGTGTATTTTGTTTTTGTGCCTCCCCATCCACCCCACCCTTTCCCCCCCTCCTTATGTCTTGTGTTACTTTGGTCTATCATCATCAAGCAAGGCTTAAAGGAATAGTTTTCCGCTTCCGGTGTGACATTTCAAAATAAGACGATAAATAACACGATTTTTAACTTTGATTTTCAACTTATGTTTTTCCTCTCAATACATCTCTTTTTGTTAGCTTTGAATCAGGTGCACCTAATAATAATTGAGGTTAATTGATCCAGGGGTGGAGCTAGATGGTGGGCCAGGGGTGGCCATTCAAAACATTTAAAATTTTCATATATTAACAATTACTTTACTACAAAAACACTGGTTAATTATGCACATCAATATACCAACACTAGAGATGATTAGTACAGAATTCATGCTCTTTTAGAACTAGATTTTGTGTTATATTCCGTATAGAGAAAATTATCTGTCTCTGCAAGTCATCTAAGGCTACGTTCACACTGCAGCCTGAAGTGACCCAAATGTGATTTTTTTTTTTTTTTTTTTTGCCAATATGCGACCTGGATCTGATCTTTTCATGACAGTCTGAACAACGCAGATCTGATTTTTTTCCCAATCCGACTTGGCTATGTGGTCCTGAATCTGATACGAATCTGATCTTTTCAAATGCGACCTGTGTCTGAACGGCCAGGTCGCATTCATCCGACCTGAACGCCATTAGTAACCGAGATAGGTCTCTATTCTGCTTCTTACTACACAGAAGAGGCAAGAAAAAGACGATGATGCAGAGAGCAGTATTTTTGTTTAACTATCTTAAAAAGATTGAGGTTTTGAGGTTTGGTAAGATCGCTAGATGCGCTCCAGCACTACATCCATATTTGCTTCCGTAAACACGAAGCACGCTGGCTTGTGACATCATTTCATCCTCTTAATGCGCATGCAGGACACTTAAGCTGTATGACTGCAGTTCACACAGGAGATAACATGCAAGTTGCATATATTTGGAAATGTGAACGAACGGCAACGCAAAAAAATTGGAATTGAGCAGCACGGCCTGCAGTGTGAACGTAGCCTAAGAGCCTTCAGTGAAATCATAGATACTGTAAATAACAATTTTAATAAAACCTATTAAATTATCAATTTATGTAGATATTAGTACATGTAAATATAAATTTTATGCAGAATGATATTGTTAAAGGTAGGTAAGTAATGACGATGGAAAAGATGTTCGCTCCAGAATTCAAACCTGAAGGAATTTTTCCCAATATACCTTCTATCTAGACGGATGTTTAAATATATGCGACTATTTGTTAGCAAAGGCTGTAGGAAACTATAGTTTGTCTTTATTTAGAAATATGGACATTTTGCTTGTTCCTGTTGGAACAGTGATTGACCCTGAGGTTCTGGTGCCTATCCACTTTTGGCCACCCCTCAGTATACCGGTACATTGGTCTGGCTACATTTTCTGGCTACGCCTCTGCATTGATCTCGCATTGGAGAAATTTATCTCTGCATTTAAACCATCCCCTTGGGGAGCAGTGGGCTGCCATCGTGGGGCACCCAGGGAGCAATCGGGGGTTAAGGGTCTTGCTCAGAGAGCTAGAGTGGCAGTCTGTGGGAGTGGGTTTCGAACTCACAATAACAGCCACGGGTCATTAAAAATCATTAAAAGTCATTAAATTATTATTTTTTTTAAATTAAGGCCTTAACTGGCATTAAAATTATTTAATGTAATTATTGTGGAATTTAAAATGCTTTATTTAATAAAAAAGAAAATTATAAAAACAATTTAATCAGATATATAATATCTCAATATATTTGCGCAGAACTGCTTCCAGTTGATCGTAAAGCCGTATGTTCAGAAAGAAGCACAAGGCCAGAGAATGGGAAAATGCACAATTTTGAAAATGTGGAATTCGGGACACGGCTGCATATGTGTTTGTATGTATATATATATATATATATATATATGAGAGTCACATGTAATTTTTGATTGCATTAAAATTATTTGTAAGAGCATTAAAAAGCATTAAATTAGAGTTACTCATTCCTGTATAAACCCTGCTGCAAAGCAGCTCCAAGTTTTAGATGGAAAGGATCTGTGATCATTGATTTCTTTCAAATGGATTTAACACTGGATATTAGTATGGACTTAGACTAGGCCATGCCACACATGGGTCATTCAATTTTAGCTGTGGAAGTATATTAAGGATAAACCTCTACCTAAGTCTCAGGTGTTTTACAGCCTGTAATGAACTGTTTATTTGCCTTTCTGTGCCAAAAAACAACAACAAACAAAATGATGCTGCCACCACCGTGTCTTTACCTTGAAGATGTTGTGCTCAGAGCGTATTGCAGCGTTGCGTTTACATGCAAAAGAACGTTTGGCATCCAGGCCGCCTGTATTTATGTTAAGATTAAATATACTTGAAGATTAACCCTGTTTTGTTATGAGATTGTGTATTAAAGGAGTTGGTTGCGCTGGATTGCATTTAGAAATCCCAGACTTAGGGGAGTTATACTGGGAAAAAAGAAATGTAATACTGATATTTTTGATTTATTTGATTTATATACTACATCATTTCAATCTCAGTCTTTGAGTTAGAGCATTTTTCTCCCCGCTGAAGCGCATGAAATATTACTTTGCAATAGTGCAAATCATTAAGTTCTGCATTATATAAATCAGATCAAACCTTACCTTTTTTCTTTTTCAAGTGTGAAAGCATGGAAATTAGGAAGCTTTTGAGAACTGTTAGTCTTCTGTAGGAATTTAGAGTAAACAGTTTGTGGTTATTATTAAAGATTGATCACTGATCAAAGATGGAGATAAATGCTCAGTCAGAAAGCAAAAGCACAGACCAGAGCCTGAATGAAACTCTGCTGTTGCTATTGTTCTTTTTTTAGCTTTAATCTGAAAAAGCCAGAGAGTTTTGCACCAACGTCCGTATCAGCTGGACCTGATAGCAGCAGGTTAGTCCCGGAAGAAAACATTCCTACCCGTTTACCTCAGAGATACCAATTTCCTTGCAAGTAATGATTAAAAGAAACTCCCCAGACCCTGTTTGACAATTTGTTTCCGCCAAAAGACAAATATCTGTATTCAAAGATGAGTTACAGTGGTTTCCCAATGTTCTCTTTGAGATAAACACTACTGCATAAAAGCTGAGTTTATTGAAAAGCGGTCAATCTTTTTTCTTTTTTCGCTTGTTTAAAGGGGATGGTCTCCTCTCAAAATGCTCTCCTATCTTTCCTATTGTGAAGAGATGACTAATTAAAACCAGCTTTGGCGTTACAATTTTTTTTAAATTTTTTTATACCCCATATAAACAGAGTAAAAAAAAAAAATGTCACTAAAGAAACAGCTTGTAGTTTGATTTATTAGGAGTTGTTCAACTTGTCGAAGTAGTGAGGTAATGCTGCTGCTGAAGGTTAATCTAATCTATTCTGATTTCATGTAGATGACCAAATCTAGATTACTGGAATTGCATGCATCTGTTATAGGTCAGCTTTTTAAGAGAGGGGAAGAATTAGTTGCACACCAAGTTTCTAGATATAAAGAAAAAAAATCAGATTGATTATTAAAATAATCGTCAACAATTTAGTAATCGATTAATTGTTAAATGGATTATAAAGACTCTAAAGCATGCTTTTAGCTAACTGATCAACCCCCTTAGAGCAGTAACTATATTAAAATTACAACAGAAATAAATATTTTGAATATAAGATAAAAAAAAAAAAACATTTGTGCATTAATATGCTCTATCCAGACCTCCTCAAGTGGAAACGTTTTAGTTTCACCTGATTTAGTTCTGTAAAAAGAACTTCTTTAAGGAGTCTTTTTCTATCTGATTATTAATTTGATTAATTAAAAAAATAATCAACGGATTAATAGATAAGAAAAATAATCATTAGTTGCAGCCCTAGTACCCAGGTTTATTGAGCATTATTAAACTTAAATTATTTGACTGGGTATATATAAATTTACAGCTGTAAAACTCTAATAAATTTTAATTTAGCATAAATCAAAAGTGTGATATTATGTAGTGGCAATGGAAGGCAGGGCCGGTTCTAGCCCTTTGGTTGCCCTAGGCGAGATTGAGTTTTGCGCCCCCCCCGCTCACTTTTGCCGTGCGAAATACGAATACTGTTTTCAGCATCTGTTTAGTGCTTCATTGAGTTGTGTTTACAGTTCCACAAAGAGTGCTGTGCGGTGAATTGTGCCTACAGTTGTGCAAAGTGTGTGTTACAAAATTGCAAATTGAGTGCAAAGCAGTGTTTGTTCTTATAGTTTTGTGAACTCAGTGAGTGGATTTGCTATAAGTATTAATAGTTTTAGAAATTGTGCTATAAGAATCAAGGTTGTGTTTAAGCATTCAGAAAAAACTGTAACTTAGCATGGAGTGATGCATAGACAAATACCAGAATAGGTTTCAGTACCTCTTATTTTAAATAATTTATTACACACTCAAAGTTAGGACTGTGCAAAAACACTTTTAACCATCTGTAAGGACACTTAGGTAAAGTATAACTAAAAAACTGGATTGAATCATTGAATGAATTTATTTCAGACAATTAACAAATTTAACACACATTAAACAAATATTAAATAAATCAATTTC